GGCAGTCTAATTACAAGTGATCTCCGTGACATCGCCGAGATCACTTGTAAAGAAACAGGTGATTTCTCCTATTCTACATTTAGCGCGGCTTGTGCAAAGCAGAGCAAAATGTAGAAAATAAATTACGGCCCGGCGCCCGGAATTACGGCTCCATGTTCCGGGCGTCGGGTGTGCCGCCCCTCTGCTCAGTGCCGCCGCGAGGCCGGGCCTCTGTGGCCTTGCCGGGAATCTGGCCCTGACCAGGAGAACCTCCTAGATGGCAGCGTCATTCCACCCTTGTATGACTATTGTTATCCCTGGTGTACAGATAATGTGACCACATCAATATTCTCTAATCCTGCCACCTGCACCGCTGAGCTCTGCTTTATTGCTGAGAAAACACCTCTAGGTTCTTAAGAAACCGACACGTCCAGGACTACTGACCAAGTCAATCTCCTGCTACCTCACCACAGTTCCTCCCGCAGACCGCTACATCACTACAGGACACAGGAGAGCACAGCGGTGACTTAGGAACCACATCACACGGTGTCACTTACTGAAGGATCTTCAAAGGACATTTTCTTGGCAATAAAGTCGGGATCGGTGATCTGCACAGCAACAAAAGGAAAGACTAACTTTCTTCTTTACAAGGGGATCAGATCAGCTCTATACACTGTGTCTGTGAACTGAGCCATCCTCGGACAGCTTGGTTCACAGCCATAAACGTGCACAACAGCCGCCCAAGGACTACTTCTGGAGTGATGTTTGTAACCATCATTGCAGAAATAGATGTCTACTCCTCTGCTATGACAATAGGGAGGTAGTAAGAGACCCTGTTACATACCTTTAGAACACATGTGTCAAACGCAAGGCCGCGGGCTGAATCTGCCCCAAAAGGCCATTTCATGTGGCCCTTGCACATTATTTAAATGAAGCCTGCACTGGGCTTCACAGGAAGGCTGCTGAGGTCCCCAGTAAGGTCCTCTTCCTTCCTGTGGATCCATGCCACCCACAGCGGCCGAGACTGTCCTGGACCCTTGGTGAGACGGCACAGCCCTCCTAAGACCCCACACAGCAGAGCATAGACACCGCACAGCCACCTTAGTGTCTGCACAGCCCAGTAGGCCTCACGTAGACCACCTGAAAGTCAGCACAGCATAGACCCAGCACAGCCGCCTGAGAGTCCACGCAGCCCACCATAGACCACACATAGCCACTTGAGAGTCCACACAGCCCACCAGAGAGTCTGCAAAGCCACCTGAGAGTCTGCACAACATAGACCCTGCACAGCCCACCTGAGAGTCTGCACATCCCATCATAGACACAGCGCAGCTGCCTAGCCCACCATAAACCCCACATAGCCACCTGAGAGCCTACACAGCCCACCATAGAACCTGTACAGCCACCTGAGAGTTGGCACAGCCCACCATAGACCCCGCACAGCCCTCTTTAGATCGCAAACTTTTGAGGGCAACTACTGTATATTGCTGATGCGGCCTGCAATGAAATTTAGTTTTACACCCCTGGTTTAGAAACTGCATGACTAATACCAAAGGGACAAAAGCTTTGGAAGAAGTAACATTCCCTGACTGGTCAAGGATTAGACCATGCATGGTACATGTCCTTCAGAAGGCTAGCACTTGGTCCTCCTATTTAGTGACTATTATTCCCAAGTGATAAGGTTCCCTGACTGGCCAAGGCTTGGAAGTTCAGGATTGTAATTCCCTCAGAAACCCAGGGCTTGATCCCTTGGAACTCATATTGTACCCCACAGCCAGCGATGCAAAGCTTGTTCCTTCTTCTTCAAACAATAACTTCAACACTATCATTTCAAGACTTAAACCGTGCTCTAAGCTGGTTTGGGGTTTAGGTCATGAGGAACCAGTTGCTTGGGTGAGAGATGGAATAACATTTTTTAATGTCAAAGAATTGTTCAGTCACTTGTGGGGTGGGTG